TGGTGTGATGCCAGATAATTCCCCCATACTGTCTCACAGGAGGTATATATACAGCTCAACAGGATAGCACAGCACAATGGGGTCGAGTCCCTATATTGTAACAGTCAATGTAGAATCCAGAACACCTTAAACGTGTGTACAAGGTGCGTATCCAAGTCCCTGCATTTCTGTCACACACAGCGGCGCCTGCCTGTGTTGCTGGACAGTGCTGCCATCCGTTGTATCGGCGTGTAGAATCTGACTTCACCACGGAGTCGCTCGCGTGTGTATACAGCGGCGTGTATCTGCACTGTACTTGTCGAAGCCGTGAGGCACCGAACGAAAAGTCACCGTGTTGTCTAAATATGCCGTGTCATGACGGGAAAACGCATGAATCCGACTCACCAGTCACTCTTGTCATCTCACGGCTGGTTTACCGCTGCCACCATGTAATGTTTAGTATGCATAGCACGAGAAGGCGTAAGACATTAGGTAAACGCATTATCTTTATTCACGCACGGCGGGCAGAACTCCCGCGCCGACTCATTACCGCCAGACACAGCCATATCCATACGCGTAAGAAAACAGCGCAACATATGATATATGACACCCCCTACCCTCCATCTGCGATAGTGGGCGTGTCCTAACAATGATGTGTACGCAACTGCGTGTCTGCATATCTGCGCCTAACAAATGTGGTACTACGCACGACTGAAATTTTACGTTTATAATCGTAGCAACAGACCTCAGATGAGCCCAGACGCTCTGCGGCTCTTGTTAACACTAACGCACCATAACGTGAGAGTCCTTGCATGTGATTTACGCCAGTCTGGAATGCGTGCACGTGTGAGTGCAGAATCATTGCACGATGCTCATAATGCTATAATGCTGAATATGCTTTAATTTAATGCCATTATAATGGGAAACATACACTAGTGGTGTTTAGATGAAAATGTTTTTCTTATCATCTTCTTCCCACATTACGCTGTTGTCTGTACTTGGAACGGATAACATTGGATAAGAGTACAGTTTTACATAATCTTTTTTTATCGACTATAATTTTTTCCTCTTTTTTTGAGGATCACATATTGTTTCATGCCCTGCTAATGCGTTCTCTGTTCTGTATCTACTCTACTGTCGCAGCATGAATTTTACACCTTGATCTTACTTTTGTTTTCTATAGAAATCTGTTCAACAAAAGCGTAAGACAAGGTTAAGAGCCAATAGAAGACCCCAGGTCTGTACAGAGGAACGTAGCCTTGGTTGCACCTCTACTGGGTTTGTTTATTATGTCGCCAATAGCAAGGTAAGCTGTAAGTTTGAGAACTTGACTGTGTTCTGTGCACGTGCCGGTGTAGTGCAAGTTGGCAAACGGAGAAGAGAGTGAGGAAGGGGGAAGAGAGTGCTAATGAAGGAAAAGTTGTAGCAAATAATTGATCGCCTATCGATGAATGATGCTTGTTCCTTGACAGAAAAATATGAGCGCTGCTGGTGTGACTACAACGACAGAGAGCTATAGTTCAGACATGGATAATAAAATGCTGCTTTTTCGTCAACTGTGCAAGATGTATGGCTATAGGTACACGTCATTTTTCTCTTAACTAGGAGATGTGTTTACGTGAAACTAATCCTTAATTCAGCTGACTGCTTTCATGTAGAGAATTCTAGAGAAACAATAGACATTCTTGCTCCAAACTTTTCCAATTACTCATGATTCTTGTTTATTTTTTGACCAAGCACGAATGCCAAAATATGATTGGTTCTTCTGGTGAATTTGTCTGAAATACCTCATGTTTGGCAAAAAATCTAGTTTTTAATATGGTGAAAAGATATCTATCACAGTGGAATTAATTAAACCAAATCATTCTGGACGTGAAAATAAATGCTGGGAGATATGCTCATATAAAGCTCAATTTATGTGCAACCATGTTTGCATAAAATATGTTAGCGTGTGTTTTTTCGTTTGCCAAGCTTGAATTATGTAAGGGTTTCATCGAAAAGGTTGTAAGGAGGCTGTGTAATTGCATGATAATTAGCTTGGTTTACATGGCAGGTACGAATACTATGAAGGTACAGGAAGAACTGATATGCGTCGGCCCTTCAATAAACAGAAGCCTGCCCAAAGTCATAATAAATCTAAGGTAAGTATTAAAGCAATATTTCGAAGATATAGTTAAAGTAAATTTCATACTATCTATGCCTCATAGAGAAAACCTAACAATGTCATCTATGTACATGTGCTCATTCTGTAGTTGGTTTCACTGTAGAACTGCCCTTTAAGAGAGTGGATTTTAGAAGTGCCCTTTACAGACAGGATTGTTTTGTTAATTTGTTGTTTAATACAGTCGGTCCCGTGGCTCCCAGAAACACTCGGTGTCCGGCCAAAGCAGTCTTTACGGGACCCAGAAGTCTTGCAGGGAAGCCGGGGGCTGTCATCTAGGCACGCACATCTCCGCATGCTCAGCGAAAAATGCGTATCGGCCTCGCGCAACTTCGATAGGCTGCGTACGGAGGTAACCTCTGAGATAGAGAAGCATTGTGAGGGGATGAACAGGGCCCCTTCCCCTACTCAAAGTTCCTCCCTCGAGGGCTTCTGGTGAAGAGATTATGTTGACATTTATCAGGTGTTATTTTTCTACATAAACGATATTTTTCTTGTTCGTGTAGCTATACATTTGCCAATTATCAGGTGATATTTTTCTACGTAAACGATATTTTTCTTGTTCGTGTAGCTATCATGTGTGTTCGTAGATGTATTGCATGCATTATATTTTTTCGTGTAGAAAGTACTACCGTATATGTTGCTGCAGCATGCTGTGGTGGAGAAAATTCACGTCAACGTATGTGGTTTCGTAGACGTGTTGTTACGTGTTTTGCGAAAAGAATGAAAGTTATCAAGCCAGATGTGGACAATTTATAGTTTTTTATTGTTTGTTAACACGTAAGAACTTAAATGCTTAAGACAGATACTTCTGTTAGTAGCGAGTGCATGACACGATGCAAGTCTATATTTTAGGCATGTAAACTGTCAATAATGTTAGCATGTTATGATGTTAACATACGCAATTTATGATAATGTAGGAGAAATACCTTCACTGGGGTGGTCCAAGGATATGTAATTATGTTTAGATTGTAATTAGTATGAAGGCATAAAAAAATGCGGTCCGGGCTCTTTTCGTAAGAAGAACTGATCAAATAGCATTGAAATTTTGTGAGTGAAATTCTATTGAAATTTGTTTTGCCTCTTTTCAAACATCATAAGAGATTTTATTTAAATTGTCTATTAGACAATTTTCTATACGCATTTTCACAAAGTTTGTCAAATAACTCGTGCGTTTGTGTATATATATATAGCTAACAAAATTGATGGTTAATGGTTAAAGGTTGATTTATCTATACCTGTTTCTTACGCTAATTTTTCTTGAATGTGAGTATGTGGTTCTACCTTTAATGGTTTATTTCAATATGGCATTTATCTTTTAACTTGTAAAGCTTCAAGTGAACTGTAAAGTCGAACAGCTCATAAATACGTATACGTGTGAAAAATTACTAGTATTTGCTGCTGTCGTTATTAGTGTGGGTGTCGTACAAGCATGTGTTTATCGGCTGCGTGATATTTTTGGTTTTCAATCTACAATTGGATGCCTGGCTGTCGACCTCTTTATCTGCGTCTCTCGTTCTCTTCCCCTCTGACTATTGCTCCTTTCCTCTGTGTCTGTCGGCCTGTCCGTCTGTCTGTCCTTCCTTCCGTTTGTCGGCCCGCCCGCCTGCCTGTCTGTCTGCTTCTCTGTCTGTCTGTCTCTCGCTCTCTCGATCCCTTTCTGTTCGCGCGGCTATACAGATCTTCTGCCGCAGACATGCCTGCAGCTACGACAATGCTAAGGAGCACTCGACTACATATTAATTAGTAACTCTTCGCGTCAATCACGGCGGTGATCACGGCTTCAAAGCGCACATCATACCCGCACGCACACAGCTCGCAGCTACTTGTGCGGTTGCTAGAGCGCAGAAAGAGTACGAAGCCACTTGATCTTGCGAGAGAACGCGAGCAGGACGTGTGAGCCGTGACTAGACGCGTGCGTCTGTCGAACTATGTCGTCTGCGCCGAAAGCTGCCGTGGGCGAGAGATTACTCGTAGATGAAGCCGAGACTACGCTGTCTGACGCTATGACGCCCGCGCGCGCCGAATACGAACAGAGAGAAGATTCGCTGAAATAATGATGACGGTTTTTTTCACGTCCACTGGGTTAATTCCTGCGGTTAAAAACGAACCCGTCGGCACTTTGAAACGTGAAACGTGAGTGCACCGCATCACTGATGAGAAGTCGATCCGAAAACGACTGTTCGGTTCGGTTCCGACACGGCGTTGACATGTTATGTACCGTTATCGGGCGCGCATCCGTCTTACGCTGCTCTGAAATTACAACGAAACGTTTGCGTTACTTGAGTCGAGAACACGATGTTTAGCATGTAAGCTCACACGCCGTTGCACGGCCACATGCCCACGGAACAGCCGCGTTAGACCTGTCGGTTCAGTGTGCGTGTGAACGTGCGTGCGTACGTACGTGCGTGCGTGCGGGCATTATAAGCGTACCTTGGGGAATAGAGTTATCGGAAACGCTAATAGGGAAGGAGGGAGAGGGGGAGTATAAGATCGAGAAGGGTGTGGTAAGAGAGATAGCGAAAGTGAGAGCGAGAGAGAGAGAGAGAGAGAGAAGAATGAAGTGGAGGTGTAGCAGGTATAGGAATGGAGCTGCTAACGTCTCCCCATTTGACAATCTCTGACTTCTCATTCAACAGTTATATATATTTGATCATATCACTCGTCGCTCACAAATCTGTTAGCATTCATATACGCGCGCAGCTCTGTGGTTAAGTTCGTGCTCCTATCTGCTAGAGTTCATTCATCAGTGAGCTATAATAATATAATAATTTTGTCAAGAAGCGTGAGTATTGTCGATCGACCGATCGATGTGTCGGCCGGCTGGTAGATCATTACTGCATAATAACTCTTCGATTTAGTATTGATTTAAAGAGAGGATAGGCTAGCTGAGTGTTACCAATACGGGGACGCATTGGTGCATGGGCGATGGTGTCAGGCAATCCGTTTTTGATTATGTGAAAATGCAATCGCCGATGTGTTTGATGTTGACGTGCAGTCTGACATTTATCGTTGATTGAATTAAAACTCGCGGATTGCGTTTCGAAATTGATACTTGGCATTTAAATCACTTCGATAATTTGGCAGGCGGGCGTATATCAAAACTTCGCTTGATGTTAGCGTCAGATCCGCCTGGAACGCATATGTCGGATACACACATCTGATATCTCCGCTAATTAAAACATATATAATTCATGCGTTATTTCCTCGCGGTGGTTGGCAGTGAAAACTACTGTTCTGTGCAAATAAGGCAAAGTAATCGCACGCATGCGCAGTAACGACATTCCCAGGCGAGCAGTGCTGTCAATCAACGATGACACGTCATGCACTGGTGGAGGGCTCCTATTGGACGAGAGAAAACTCGGTCGATTGTCGGGTGGATATCTATCGCAAGGCTATATTATGTCGCGCGCGTGAAACCTTGCTGTGCGGAACCCGAGTGTCGCCGCACCGCACGCAAACCTATCGCGTTTTCACGTGTTAATGTAATCACAGTGTAACGTAAGCTAAATTAATACTCGAGAACGGAAGTGTTAATATAATTACGTTAATAGTTGAGCGAAACTTATAGTGTAATTATATATGTTAATCAAGAGGGTGTGTGTTAATATAATTATGTTAATAAGGAAGTGAATTGCTAGTATAATTGTTAGTTCAGAGCGGAAGTGTTAGTATAATTATATTAATTATGAACAGAAAGCGTTGGTACAATTATATTAATTAGAAACGGAAGTGTTGGTAAAATTATATTAATTGAGGTGTTAGTATAATTATGCTAATTGGGGGCAAAATCATCGTTGAAGGAAATCGGGTACGTGAATGTATGCGATTGTGGTTGTATGCGAAACAAATTAAACTTAAATTTAAAGGTAACGGTTCGTTCAAACAAGATATACAAGGAGCTCCCTCCTCCGCCCCCCCCACTCACAATTTTGGTCTCTCGTCTCTCGTCGGGTCGGGGTCTCTCTCTCTCTCTCTCCACCTCCCTCGTCTCTTGCTCTCTATTCTCTCCCTCCCTCTCTCTCTCCCCCCTTTCTCTCTCTCTCTCTCTCTCTCTCTCCCTCGCCTCTCTCTCTCTCCCTCCCTCTCCTCTCTCTCCTTCCTCTCTCTCTCTCTCTCTCTCTCCCTCTCTCTCTCTCTCTCTCTCTCCCTCCTCCTCTCTCTCTCCCCTCCCTCTCCCTCTCTCTCTCTACGCTCGCGTCTCTCTATTTCCTTTTCCGTCTATCCCTGCGTGTCTTTCTGCTTTCCTCCCCTTCTGTCTCTTGTTCTTAATCGTGCTTTAACTCATCTATGCACTTCCCAGAACAATATGTTCCCACTGTCTGAGCACTCTCTACTGTCGTCGTCTGCTGTGCCTACCCCGCTCTCCACGCCACGCACTTCTCACACCAATCTCCCCTCACGCCCACACCCACCAGCCTGCTCGTCTTCCGGTTGCGCTCACAACACTTGTGCTAGTGACTCCGACGGCCGTGAGGAAGAAGGCAAGCGAGCGGTTGGCGGAGAAGCGCAGCCGCAGAAAGAAGTTTGGCTGGCGCGAGAAGGCAGCCGCAGTTTGTGGGCGGAAAAGCAGTGGCAAACATCGACCTGTCTTATACTAATGTAGCTCGCTGCTCAGTGAGATTCCAGCATCAACTTGTCTACCCCGCCGCAGATTTGTCGATAAATGTATCTAGGAAATCTGATGAACGTCAATATTTGAACATCGGGCGCGCACCATGACGGGCAAAACGTGATAACGTCAATATTTCGAATTCTCTGTGATGTGTCGCGGGGCGTGCGTGCGGATTTCTTGGGCGTAGTTTCGGGTTAATGTTTGCGTTGTAAGGGGGGATGGGGGCGTGTTACAACGTTTCGGGGCGTATCGTCGGTCGCCTTTAAATGCTTTGCATCATAGGAGGAAATCAGCATAGCTTATGCCGTTAGAATGTTTATTTACGCGCGTATCTTTACTCGCCGCCCTATAATCCGCTGATTTGTGAATAATTGAAAAATGGACTAAAACTCACTCTCTCACAGCTTTCGCCAGCCTCTCTTGCCTTGTCGTATTCTTTACCACCTCTCTCTCGTACTCTCTCTCTCTGCTCTCTCTCTCTCTCTCTCCTCTCTCTCTCTCTCTCTCTCTCTCTCTCTCTCTCTCTCTCTCTCTCTCTCCTCTCTTTCTCTCGCCTCTCTCTCTCTTTCTCTTTCTTTTCTCTCTCTCTCCTCTCACTCATTCCTCTCTCTCTCTCTGCTCTCTCTCTCTCTCTCTCTCTCTATACACCGCTCTGTTTTTGCACCAGTTTCTATCTCTCGCTATCCTTTGTTATGTTGATAAACAAACAAGAGTCAATCGGTAGTCGAAAACCAGTAATAACCTATTTCGAAAAACGTGGATTTTCCTACAACGATCTATGATGCCCTATGTGGACGAAAAAGTGATAGAATTGCACATAAAGATCTTTTAAAGCGTTTTTCTTCGTTAACGGTTTTCTCTGAATTACGCGCTGTCTATTACAGGATTAACATATAAAAACATAATTATATTCCTCGCGTTCGTAAGTGCTAACTTAATGAGACGTTATCTAAACGCGTATTTGTCATACGGCAATTCCGTCTGTGCAATAATGACACGTGTCACTCCTGTGCATGATCCGTTTACGAAATTAACGTTGTTTTAATTAATCGACCCGTATTAGGCCAAGTGTGTTATTTACATATTCGATATTATTAAATACTAGTCGTTAGGAAATCAGGTATTTACTCGAAAATGTTATCGTCAAAAAATTTATTTTCCACATTCTTTGGGAGTACTGGCTAGCTTATAGCTCTGAATATGTGTGCTGTTAGTTGACATCGACGGCCGAATCCCGATGCCGCCAACGCGATGCAAAGCATGGCAAACTTCCGTGTTCATAGCCAGATAGTTCCGGCTGTAAATTTCAATTCGCTTTACAGACTTTCGTCGTCGTTCAGAGGCGGGGAATTAGAAAACTAAGCCGCTTAGATAAGTCCCGCACTGCGGCCCACATTCCAACCGCTCTCACGCGCGCGTCGCCACGCGCCACCTGGCCGACAGCGAGGTTTGGTCGCCTTCCGTGACGTCACGTGCCCTGTGAAATCGATGGTGGATGTGAAGCGAATCAGTGGATGTCAGTCGTCTCCGTTTACTTCCGCCTGCCGCCGAAGCCAGGAGGTGGGCGAGGGGTGGACTGACGTTCATCTGGCACTGCGAAAGTAGTTCTCTTGTTCGTTTTGCGAGTGGCTGGAGTCGTGACGTTCGCCAGTCGCGTTAAGATGGCGCCCGTCAACTAGCAGACCCGCACTCACTGTCTGACGCTCTGTATGTTATTCCGGCTGCCCAACAAAAGAATATAATGACACTGACGATGAGTGCGTGAAGTCGCCA